ATTCTTTGCTTAACTATTTTGTGTTTTATAGATTTCTGAATCAATATTTTGGCTATATTGAAGACGATAATGCTTCAACTAACGTTTTACTGTTTAATCCTGCCAATGACTTTCTTAAAGTAATATTAGATTAGAGTTTACCAAATCTTGACTTATATATGGCAAATTGATCAAAGTTCTTCTGTACGAGGTAATCCTGAGTTGTCAGTTGAGTGAATTATTAAGGAAAACAAACATTTGTAAATAGTTTGAACTAATAAATGTATGAATTATACAAAAACCCTACGCGTTTACGTAGTGAGTTCAAGTTAAATTTTCTGTTCATCATTCCTATTCAATCAATCTTGTGAAATCATTCAGTAAATTTCAGCAACATAGTCACTTCATATATTACGGAATTTACAGAATAAGACAGCATTTAATCTGGATTAAGTAACTCTACTCCCCGACCTCTTGACACAAACTAACACTGTCAACATAAATGTAGTGAGCAGTTTTCACTAAGTGAACTTGAATTTATTTGTATAAATCATAAACTTATCAATTTCAACATTCTGTAGACGTTCATTATCTTTAAATATTCAGAATTACCCTCCAACAAAAGGATTATGATCAAGCTGAGATTTAGTAAATTCTAGTTTAATAATTCTGGAAAAAGTCGGTTAACAGCACTAAAAATCGAAACGTTAGTATAAAAACATCTTTTGGCTTTTCCATTCATCAGTAAATGAATTTTTTTCTCACGAATACATAAGAATCTTTTTTCGTTGCCTATTGTGTACCTGACTGAATTACCAAACACCATCAGGTAATTAGTACATCAAAAAATCAGAAGTTGTAGTAATTCGTCTAAAATAGCATGAACTTTGTGTGTGAGAGGAATAAATCCAGCAATAGTTTTGCTACCATAGTTTACTTTATAATCTATGAATTAATAAATACTGTAATGCTTCATGCCATTCACGTTTAGCCTTTCTTCCCTAATGTATACATTCCCCATATTGTATTATTTTTCCTTTGGGTTGTTAAAGGAGCATAGAGCTTCTACAGTACATCTACACTTTGTCCTGTTCTCGGAATTTCTCTTTAGCTTACCCCGCAATAGGTCAGAAGCTTTAATCACCTCAAACAGGATCTCCTCCATGCCACCCTTGAACACCCAACTCATAAATTCCTATTCAGGTTCCACTTGAGCTATTGCCTGGCGTGTGATATCACTCAACGATCTTCTCAGCGTATGTCCAATCCATCTCCATACAATTCGGCATAAATGTTGAGCAATAGACACTTGAGTGATTCGTTTTAGGAAATTCCAGTTACTAATCCTTTCTGACTGGCCATCTGGTCTTCAGTATGGACCCAACGAAGGCAGCTGTTGATAAAAGTCTGTAACATCTTGGAAATCCTTGTTGTGGCATGCTGGCCACGTTTGTGATCCGTATAAAACAACTGACCGACTTCACATTTCTGTTGAAAATCCTAATCTTGCGTAAGTGCAGAAGATTTCCATACTGGTTTCAATCTGATGAAGGCGCGTATCTTGCCTTTCCGATTCTCACTGGCTTTAACATCTTCATCCGTGTTGTCGCCTGCAGCTGAAACGATGCTTCCTAGATAAGTGTGGGAAGTGATCTCTTCCAAATTTCTGCCCAGTGATGGTAATTGGTGCCGGTTGTTGTTGTTGTTGATACTGCTGGTAGATTATCTTCACCTTCGTCTTCTCTATGTTCATTTGAAGTCTTGTCTTTGCTGCCTATTCTACCAGTTTGTCGGTTTTCGCGTGTAATTATTCAAGTTTATTTTTGCAAGAAAATTCATCTGATGCATTCATCAGTATGCCTTTAATACTTGTAAGGCGAAATCTTATATTATGACATATTCGTAAAAGCTTCTATTCTATTTTCTCTTTATGTTTTTGATTTTAGTCTTTATTAATGCGGAATTTATAATCAAACCGAAAAACATTCAATATAAACGTTAATCACAAGCATTCACTAGTATATATTCATTTTCAGTGATTTCTAGCCACTTTGATGTTTAACTTGCTAATTTTTGTATTTCATCATGTACATTTTCCAACCTGTTATCTGGTGGAAATTTACTCCTCATTCGGATATTATTGATCTGAATAATTCAATTTAAGAAAAAGTAGATATTAGTGTTAGTGATAACCAGTATTTTTCAAGAGTTAGTCTGTAGAGATCTGATTTGTTTCAAGGCTGATCACGGGATTAGTGTCACTTAAAGAAGCGCTGGAAAACACCGGACAGTACTGGATTGAGATCAGATTGTGATCAAACTTGAAACAAATCAAACCCTTACAAAACTATCTGTTGAACATCAGTCTAATGCTTGCTAGTGACTGGCTACATGACTAAGTTGCCTGGAGTTCTAGTAAGAAGTCGTAACCACTTGGGTTCATCGAGTCAGGCGTGACGACAAATACTCGTCAGTAATGACACTGGCTGGTGGTCGCGCTAAAATCACGAAATGGTAGGAGGTGGAATTCATGGACTTTTGAATCGCGTCCAAGTGGCTGAATGATCTGCCAGCTTGCCGTGTGGCCTGAACGTCTTGAATTATAACTTCAGCGGGTGCGTACTGATGACGAGTACAAAACCAAGACGAAACGGCTGTCCAATACTCCATGCTTTTCAGTGGTTATCTAACTGACATCAATGCATAATCAAACATCATAATAATTATTCCTTTACTGATATGGACACATAACTCTAGAAACTGATGTTCGAGAAGTTGTCGAGAACAGTATTCGCTATCCACTAATCAGTGTGTTGGAATTTATGTATTGGAATGCATACTGTACTCTTGAATAATTTTCACTTAAAAATAATTATCAGACATAGATAGTAAGAAAATCTTCAGCTGCAATGGTAGCAATCCAACAGTACACAAAATAGTCTGCTGAAAACGTTGTTCAAAAGAACGAACACCCATGGAAGTATCGCTGTATTGCAAAGAATAAACGGGAAATATTTTATAACCGTCTTCTGGAAAAAACTAGATATTAAAGACACTTCATCAACAGAAGTCTGGCCAACGCAAAATCGTTCCAGAAAAGTTCAAGGAAAATCGTTCTGCTATATTATGAAATACAATTATAAAATCACCAGCAAGTTATTGAAATATTTTGTAATACATGTTGTCCACTAACTAACACAGTCATTTCTCTACATAACATTGTAGACTTATAGACTTAATAACAAAAATAGAAGAAGATCAGAATGAATTATAGCAGGTAGTTGGAGGCAATCTGCAGGAAGCCTTGCCTGACCTAGGTTTCGTGCTAGTTGGCACTCACCAGTCAGCAAGGCGTATCTGCAACTCTGAAGGAACTCATATTCCTTCTGGGATTCGAACCCGCGTCATCCAGTTCCGGCTGCAGTCATAGTCGTTACCACTGAGCTATTGGGGCTCGCGACTGACCACATTGCAAACCTGACTGATAGAATTCAGTCTGCACTAAATAAAGGTCTATGTACATTACACTAGTTACTGACTAGTGTCCAATCAAATTGAATTATACTACAAATTACACGAACTCTGAGAAACATCACTTTGGTCCACTTCATTTTCAAATCTATGAAAATAAACCAGCAGCGAAAGGACTTCGCGTACATTTATTCATGTCAATGCTCACGAACAACTACCTGGACATCAGTTCCACTGGGAAAATGCAAACAGAAAAGACACAAAGAATACCGGTGGATTACTAAAAATCAAGTTTTCAGATCAATTTACAACTAATAAACATGTCGACATTGAAATAAAAATTGTCAATTAATCATATCACATTGTAGCGAGAGCTGTCTGTTAGCCCAAGCTGATTGACACCAATTTACGTCAATGTTTACGTCCCAAATCTTTGTCAGGACATAAAGCAGGTACAAAGCCTGACCTTGAGGAACTCAACAACCAATTACAGCAAACGTAGCGTGGGCGGATATGATTCGCAGATATAGGGTCTGACCTTCAGAGAAACGGCCACAAAGAGATGAAAGAATAACTTCCAGGGGGAAAACAACCAATCAGAAGATTCTGTTTCTTTGCTTACAATAACGAATAATAATGTACGTAAAAATGAATAAATATCTGTTGATTTTCTCAATAAACGGTCTTTTTCCTGGCCATTGTCTTTCTGTTGTTACAACACTATCAAAATGTCAAATATTCGGTCAAAGAGACAATCAATGTCAATACTGATGAATACAATCACAAGAAAATCATCTGAAACAACTAATCCCCTTAGGAATTTCATCGCAAATAACCATCATTTTATTTATGGAGGATTCTAAAAGCTTACTCACTGAATCTAACGCTCAAGATATCGACTAGAAAGACAATGAAAACTTCTCAGTAAAAGTATCTAATTCAAGGGAGAGAACAGCACAAAAGCCAACAGCATAGATCTGTTTCAAAATATGCCTTCAAAGATGAGGAGAAACACAAGTGTAAGTTATGCTGTAAGTACTACAAGTCAATCAGTGGAATTGCCTTATCTCGGTAGAATCTGTTTTCAAATATGCTAGCATTCAATAGCTAACGTTATCTCTAATCTTGTAAAAGCTGGCTTTCCCTTCTCCAGGTTTAAATCTGTTTCACTTGATATGTATGTGAGTCACCAATACCATCAGTAAACCTTTAATGATAACTACATTTCCAATGAGTAGGAAATTATCAATTTCCAAATGGAAGGCGAAACTTCAGCTAACACAGTCTATGTGCTATTGGTAATGGTGAAAAATTATGCACATAAAGAAACATACTACTGATTGGCTGATATGAATAGTTGGATACTATTCACAACAACCATCCAATTGGCCTTTTTGATCATTTGGTGACGAGGTCTTGCCTCATCTAAGAGAAATGAATCAGCTGAAAACATCCAAAACCTCTCTAGCTACTTGTGCGAAATGGTGAACTGAATAATTTCGTTTTCTAAACGAAACTGTGGTGAAATAATTACGCCTTGAACTGTATAACTGGCAGATAACAATTGAATTTGCAAACAGCGAATTTAATTCAAAACAATAAATACATGAAAGGAAGTGTAGGATAGATTACTTTTTGAATAAATTCTTAAAATAATATAAAATTGTAAATTGCATACAATTTAAATATGAATGTTCTTTTTGTTTTTTTTCTCTTTTTACTGAATGTGAAGCATGCGATCCAAAAGTAGTTTGTTTATCCCAGTTTTAATGATGACAACACCGTGATTTGCGTGCATTGGACTTCTCATGAAGAACAATACGCGTCTCTTTAATGCGTACTTCAGTTGCTTGCTTCTCAAGAATCTGTAAAAATACAGAATAAATTTAAAAAGGATGTTGTAGAAATGTGTCGTAGAAAAGAAGTAATGTCGGCTAGGTTCAGTATGCCGAAACTATCATGTGTATATTTAATTCAATTTTAGATCTTCCCGTCGATTGATTGAACCGAAATGCTTGGTATCAGGCTGACATGTCGACTTCTTGTGCAGATGCTTCGACGGTGTCTGGTCATGTAACTAGAAGTCGATTAGTGGATGGTTACTAGTAGTGGAATCCAGGATACCTATTTCGTCATATTTTGGACTCGTCATCTGGATGTACCTGAATTCCACAGTGAGTGATAATGTTCCCAACGATCGGTCCAGTCAGTCTACGGTAAAATCTAGAATTTAATAAAATAATCATTATGACCTGTTGCACAACAGGTCGCTCTAATGACTTAAGTGGTCTAGTGGATAACGCTCTGGCGTTTGAAACTATGGGCACTGTGTTTGAGATTCGGTGGGAATATCATCACTCACTGAAGAATACAGGCCCATCTAGACGACGAGTTCCAAATAGGACGAAATGATTCCACTGCCAGTAACCATCCACCAATTAATGTCATATGTATATGTTTGTAAATATCTATAGGGAAGTTTAACTGAATGCTTGAGACATTTGAATTCCTTTTAGTAGCTCACTGATTCAGATCACATGCATTTCACTGGGTTCTGGACAATTAGGTAGTTTAATCACTGTGGTTAGTCGCTTAGTATATTATATGTATAATATATTAAACATATTTACTCACTAACGAACATCTGTTTGAATTTAGTGAAAGGCAACTCCACTTTTCTGTAGCACCGACATTTTTACGAACGATAATTATCTGTCATGTGAAGTCCACATTCAACGAAGTAATTTTTTGTGTCATTTATCTGATCATAGATATTACAGTCTTAAGTGATGAGTTTGTCTCCGCACCAAGGAATTAACCGGTATTAGAGTCACTGCCCAGTGGATATTTCCTGTTCATTATCTTTTCCAGGTAAACTGGCTAGAAAAATTTACTGTTTCACCCCCACACCTCCCGGTGATTGGTGTCAGGTGAGAATCTCAAAGATTCTGGACAAGTATGCGAACAAAGCTGAGATCTTGATACGAAAGAACTTTTAAGGTCTAAAATCCACAATTTCTCCTGACTAGTCACTATGTATCGTTAACTTTTTACTTTAGAATGGCATTGAAAAGCATTACAAATTATCCTGAAGAAAATATTTCTCATACTCAGTCAATCTAACAAACATTAACTAATAAACATACATATAAAAGGTGACATGATTGTTAATACACTTGTATATGAGCTAACAAATCTCCTATCTAGTCGATTCGCCAGCCTATTGTTCTATTCACTGTCAGCAACAACAACACAATGCGAGAGGACAAGAAGAGAAGACGTGCTGCTGACGTGGAGAGCTTTTACTGTCACATATCAACAGCGAAAGTGATTGACAACGCTTGGTATATATATATATATGCTTTAAATGACCTTGACAGACACTAATCACATTGATTAATTAAAACAGTCAACCACTAGTAGGATTTCAAAGGTGATAAGTGGGGTGAGAGAAATACAAACAGACATGTGAAAAGGATATATCGAAAATTAATTCTATCTATATCAATAGGTCAGCTTCCAATCCCAATGCTCATAAACTATCCATCCTGATCTACATAAATTTTTATTTATACGGACATCCTCTGTTAGCTCTTAGTAATCGAAATAAGGTATCTGTCTCATTCTGTGTTTTAAAAAGTGAGGTCATTTTAAATATATGTAAAATTTTGTCAATGAACTGTCAAACTTAGGCCTAATTCGGTTGGAAGTAGGTTTTGTTGACAGTAGATGTAAGAGATTGAGTACAAAACCGTCACATTTCTTTCTAGGTGGGCACTTCACTTTCCATTTACCGTTTTACAGCCCGAAGGTTATTGATTTCCTACTCCTGCCACTTTGAGTTATCAATCAATAAGTTGTTGTCTTTACTCAGATCTTATGGACTTCAGTAAAGACGACTTACTATAGAAACTCTGGAGGAATTCAGTTTTTAATCTAGTCACTAATAAGATGCATACTGAAACTAAACTGTCAGGTTTGTAAAGGTTTAAAAGATGAGATCGTGAATTTGATCACTATCTTATCTAACAATCGAAAAGCAATAGGGGTCAAATATTTATAGATAAAAATCTACTTAAGTTAGAAATACTGGGTCGTTAGATTCAAATCAAGTGACTGAATCATAACCTTGTTGCCTCTGACATTTGACAGTGTTAGATTCCATCCTGAATAAAGTCAACGGTAAGTAAACATTACTATTGAATCCTAAACCATCTATAATTAGACATCAACTGGTAATAATAAAATCTGCTTCGAAACCATCAGTTCCGTCGGCATTGAAGTTGTTCCTTTCTAACCGAAGCATACAGATATAGTCATTCTAGATTCACGACATTCTATCTAATGCTTCAAGCATTCCGTCATTGAATAAATTATTTCATAATACCAAATTATGCAATTTGGTCAACATAGATCAAGTAGCTTACTTACTGTAGCCACTGTTCAAGCCAACATAACTGACGAGGTAATGCCATTATATTCTTCAAATACTCTTTTAAATCATCTCTGTTACATAGAGCAATATCAAGAAGCTGATACTATTGTGTAGATGCGTCTTTGGTTCAGAGAGAGAATGCCTGTCAGCCACACAAATGGTCACGATTTGACTTCCGGCCGATGCATTCCGAAACCTTGCCTAACCGGTAGTATTTCGTGCCCTGTTGGAACACAAACCCTACTGAAACTGCATAATCTTCAAGCTTGAAACTCTTACTGTGTTCTGCTTGGAATACAAAGGAATGAGACAATAAGTACTATTTTGTAAATAAAATTAGATTATACGTGTTAAACACATTCGTTATGTACTTTCCTACACAGTAGAATATCAGTTGACTAATTAACCAAAAATCACTTCATTAAGTGTACCATAATTACCCTTCTACTTGTTTGTTTGTTTTCTTTCTTTTTACAACATATTACTTCACCATAGAGCAAAGATGTGTTTATTTCACTACTCTTATATGCTTTTCATCAATTTAATTCGTCTACAGTCATTGTGTAAACACTTTACTTTTAACTTTACGAAATTACAAATACTACTCCTATTACTACTTCTACTACCACTTCAATGTATCGTTATTTATATTTGAATATGTGCAGATTATGTCCAGGTATTAACTGTGCTAACAGAAGAGTATTAAAATTCCATTGTGTTAAACTTCAGAGAAAATTTTAGTCAGGCACGGATAAGGACACCAAGACCAGTTAGGATAAGATCATGGAAGTAAGACAGACCGACATTATTTTGAAATCAGTCTAGAGGTCTGTAACGCTTACCTTCAAGGAGCAAGATTCGAATATATATAACACTAATGTTAACTCAGTGATTCTACATGGTTCAGAGACTTGACTTGCGCCTCGCAAAAAGAATTTCCAGCAGCTTTCTGCAGACTTTCACGAATGGCAGCCTTCACTTCATACTGGACACCAGACAGCTGGTCAAAAAGGACAAGCAACAAGGAACTCTATAAGACAGCAAGTCAGGCAACAGGCTATCACCCAACAAGTATGCAGAAAGAAATGGAAATGGACTGAACATGATCTGAATGAGAAGGCCTTCGGTAAACACCAAGTACCAAGCCCTCGAGTGGAATCCAAATACGAAAAGATGAGTTGAGTTTTTGGGGCTGACATGGTAAAGATCATGTAAGGAGGAAATAAAAGTGTGTGTGTGTGTGTGGGCAGTCGTGGAGCCAGCTAAAAACGACTGCAGACAAATGGGATGCTGCTAAAGTCTGGTGTTCCATCCGAAACCCTTAGGAACGAATAGTAATAATACCAAAAAGAATAATAAAATATTTTCATTCGAAGTCCTGATTAGGACAGCTAGTAAACAGGCCTCACTCGTTAATCTAATGCCAATTTTATTTATTATTGTCTTTTTCTAAGGTTAAACTGAAATATTTTTGATGTTACTTAGTGAACTGTAGTTATCATCTATCATATTATCATTTCCTTGCGTTCTGAGTGGAACATACGGCTTCAGCAACACATCTCCACTTTGTTCTGTTTTCTGGCGTCCTCTTCAGCTGGATAGCTCCACGACTGACTAAACTCTCTCATCTCTTCCTCATACAATCTCGTCCATCTCACCCTCGCACTGACGACTCACTCATCGCCTCCCATTGGGATTCCACTGGAGGCAGTGCCTGACGTACGATGTCATTTGGCGGCTTCTTCAGTGTATGCCCGATCCATCTCTACTTTCCCCTATATATTTGTTGAGCAATCGGCTCTTGATTGGTTGTTGCCAGTCAGAGTTTCTTGTTGCTTATTCTTTCTGGTTATTTGACCTTCAGTATGGAACCAGTAAGCGAAGATAGCTGTTGATGAAAGTCTGCAGTAGTCTGTTGGAAATCCTTTTCGTGACTTACATGCAGTGCAAATTTCTGACCCGTATAGAAGAACCGACCTCACGTTAGTGTTGAAAATGCGAATCTTGTTCCTTATGCTGAGGTAGAGTGCGGAATATTTCCAAATTTCGTTTCAGGTTGAGGAAGGCACATCTTGCTTTCCCGATACTGACTGGCCTGTAGTTGAAACGATGCTTCCCAGATAAGTTAAATCTCTCTTATTGATGGTAATTGATGCTGGTTGTTGTTGTTGTTGTTGTCACAGTTGATTGGCTATCTTTATCACCTCCGTCTTCTCTGTGTTCACCTGCAGTCCTTTTTTCAAGGTATGATTTAAGACTTATTGATCATTGAATAAACTTGAAATAATTATTTCTTATGCGAACACTGAAACTTCTCAATATCCAAAAATAAACCAATCACCAGTGAAACGATGAGTGATTCAACTGCAGCCTTCTTTCTTTTGATTTCCCTGTAACCATATACCTTTAGCAGTTACTATATTTGTAAAAAGATAGTCTCACTTCATGGTGTTGACGCAGTGATAGAAAACATCAAAGATTGTTATAATATTGTGGGCTTACTAGTAGAAATAGTTGTTATTCGTATGCATTGCAGTCAATCATATACATGTAAATAATTTAATCTCCAGTTTGTATCGATTATGGCAAACAGTATTAAAAATAATTAATCTTATAATACTCTAAGAATAACTACTTTTATAACATACCATAATTTTACTGGCATAAGTTAGTTGCTCACTTTTTCACTACACTATTGATTCCTATTGACGTAGTGAAGTTGTTGGTATGCTGTAAGTGGAATTTTTTCTCAAGGAAACAGTTAATCTGATTAAGTGATTATGACTTTTATTTTATTTTTTTCATATGATGAAGTGGAATTTGAAACAACTGAGTTGGAAAGAGATTTATCCTGCTGCTGCTCTCTCTCTCTCATTCACTTTGATCTGTAGTGCTCAATGGCTAGATCAAAATTATCTAAAACAGACTAGATACCCTGGCTGATAGAATTCAGTCTGCGGCAAAGAAATGACTAGACACATCACACTAGTTACTAGTGTCTAATAAAAAAGGCTAGATAGCCGTTCAGCCGATTCGGAACAGAACTTTTCTGGGCTTTTTTTCAACATATATAGCTGAATTCGTCGGTATTATTAGAATCCTACTCACTTGATATATCTAATTGTGATTACATAATAGTGTAATCGGTGAAGTATGTCGTTTGAATGCCATCCTCACATGAGTAAGTTAGTAGTTGAGGTTCTAAAAGAAGATCATTGCTTACAGTACAAATAATCTAGTGCATTAACAGTTTAATCAGGTAACTGATCCAAACTTAAGTGGTTTGAATCAGTTGTGGTTTAGTGTCTAGCTGATATCTGCTCCATACTAGCAAAACAATCATAAGATGAAAAATTCCCATTCGAACATTAATAGACAAAAGACAAGTAGTTCAACGAAGAGTCTCTTTTCGACAAATTCATTTTCATAGCTGTACAATTGCAGATATTAATGGTTACTTTGTGTGTGTCTGTGTGTGCATACATTAAATTTGTCAAACGAAAATACAATTAGTAAGTTCAAATGAATTGGATGTTGATAAGAGGATAGTAACAAAAGGGATAAGTTGTCATACATGATTGTTAAATAAGAGTTACGTGATGGCGTGAATAGTTTGCTGAAAGAGTTGTGCTCAGAGTGTACATGGAAACGAAATAATATACAGAATTGTTTTTTATTCCTTCACGTTCCCAGTGGAACATAGGGCTTCAAGCTAGAGCCAGCTTGAAGTTTCTGTGGCAGTGGTGACTATTTTTACGGGATGAGGTTGCTAGCCTCATGCCAAACTTTCCCTCTTTACCAGTCTTATTACTGGCCTAGTGAGGTAAAGGAGTGCGTCAGTCGGGGATCGAACCCCGGACCATCTGCATGGTCGGCAAGCGTCCTAACCGCTGTACCACCAACGCACAATATACAGAATTACACAAGGGTTTTAAGTAGTTAGAAAAAATAAGCATAAAAACAAAAGTAAGGTCAAATCAAACAAACAAACAAAAGTTAAGTCAAATCAACGGAGTTGTTACCGTGATAGTGTAATTCTGTATATTATTTTGTTTCCATGTACACCCTGAGCACAACTCTTTCAGCAAACTATTCACGCCATCACGTAACTCTTATTTAACAATCATGTATGACAACGTATCCCTTTTGTTAATATCCTCTTATCAACATCCAATTCATTTGAACTTACTAATTGTATTTTCGTTTGACAAATTTAATGTATGCACACACAGACACACACAAAGTAACCATTAATATCTGCAATTGTACAGCTATGAAAATGAATTTGTCGAAAAGAGACTCTTCGTTGAACTACTTGTCTTTTGTCTATTAATCATAAGATGCTTATATCACCTCAGTGTTATTATTGGTCACTAGTGGTTCGTGTAAATGCTTTCTGAATAGGCACACAAATACGCACATCAGTCGGCAGTATGTGTATATTAATTGTGTATATGTTCACTATTTTCAGGTCTCTTGTAGTGTCAAGTAGGTAGTATATTAAAATAGAAATATTTCCCGTTGTTGATTCTCATCTCAACCAGTGGATGAATGACAGCAGAATTATATCATTTTATTTCACTCATATACTCAGAATTTCTGACAATTTTAGCTATAAGTTAGATTTGCTGATATTTTCTGTCCGATATTCTGAACCCGAAGTCTGTCAATTACCATCAGAGGGACTTCGCCATACAACTATTTTGTGATTCTTAAGCTTTGAATATGATTGCCTTAAGGGAATGAAAGCAAGTTTTTCAACCGGGATTAAACATATTCAATTTTTCTTTCTAGCCGTCAGTAATCCTAAAGTCTGTAGTGAACTTTTCTTTTTTCTCGAGTAGTCTTAATGTAAAGGTTTAAGATAGTTGGTCTCCTTAAAAGACTTTGTTTTATTCAACTGTGATTACCAGTCTTTTAGATGTGTTTTTCCATACGTAGTTACTATACTTTTCGATGTATTAGTGTTCTTTGACTTTGGTAACACTTATTTCTCTCAACTACAAACGTCCTCTGAAGTGGAGAGTTGAGTATATGAAATATTAATAAGAAATTCATCACTTAAACTCTGTTTGAACATTAACTATAACCTAGTCAATAGAATGAGAATCAAACTTGTATAGAGGGTAGAATAAATCCTAATTTAATTAGTTTCCGCTCCCCTCTGGTACTCATTTTTGTGACCTTAACGATTTATATATTTTTTCTTCAGCCTGACATACTGAATACACAGACTTTCTTACGAGTAAGTTGTTTGAGCCGTAAATGCCAACTCTTTTACTGCATAAAGTATGCAAATCGAATCTTAGATGCAAGGTGATTTACCTACATAGTCTTTCTCTCTCTCTCTCTCAACATGTGTATTTTGATCATTGGGCTAAGTGACACAAAAATGACCCTAAATTTCAGCATACTTTCTTTATGGATTTCATCATGAGCTGACATTAGTTAGAGAACCAGGTTTTCCAATGGTTCTCTAACTAATGTCAGCTCATGATGAAATCCTGAAACCAATCAATTCCCTTCAAACCAACACTTGAATACTTTCTTTATGTTTTCTAAAAATGATATGCGTGCAAATTTTATTGACTACTTCGAGCAATTCAAGGGAAAGCATATTCAAATTAATTTTTAACACATAGGTGGTCTGTTCAACTACAAAATCCCTAGAACAATGTCTGATAGTCATGTGGATAATAGTCAGTACTCAGCATCACGAAGACCAGAGGGTTTGGATTGATTTCACAAACTACAGAGGTTCCAAGGTTCAAAACAATCTCAACTACATAAGAACGGAAATAAAAATTTCACAGAAATTTTCCAAGACTGTGTTTGTTTGGCTGTCTGGAAATATTTTATTGTTATGAATTCTGATTTCAAGACTAACACAAAAATGGAATTGAATAAAATGAAACAAAATGATGATGAAGTTGTATAAAAATATTGATTTGATGCATCTGTGATCCAGTGATAGAATGCTCCCCATCTAGGAGGGGGGGCTGAGTTCAACTACTGGCTGACACACTCCTTACACTCGCCTACTTTACAAGCTGGTAGTAAACGCAAAAAAAGAGGAAAGGTTAGGCATGACGCCAACAGTTCCACCACGTACAAACTAAACTACCTCTACTGAAACTTCAAAGCTCAGCACATAAACGGATGAGAAAGAATCTTGTCTATTGACAAACACATAACTGAATAATTTTATATCTCCGATGTTGTGTCAGTGTTCGCCTAAGTCGGTCGAAATATAATCTCACCAACATCTAATAGCATTTTGATGTTTTAAAACTATTTGGTCAAGAATAAATACTCACATTTATTACCAACCAGTTGAATATATTCCACATTAGACGTTAAAGCTGGAAAAACTACCCAATCATTCCACTGGGATGTTATCTCATGCAATTTAAACGGCGGCATAATACACATCTGACTGACAAACTTTTACAAGAAGTAATTAATAAGCTAGCGATTTGAGTTATATGGCTGGAGGAATGTCAGTTGTTAATTGAATAAATAAGTAGTGGAATCTGTGATCGTCTATTTGATTTGTAAAGATTTGATACGTAATTTAGTCGTATTTGGTCTACTTTAGCTACAGTTGACTGCTGTAATGAGTATGAGGGGGAATTACTTAGCATAAGGGAATATCCAGAAAAGTTTTTTGGCCGAAATAAGAATTTAACGTCAAGGTTAGAAAGCTAGTTAGAAGCTTCAAAGAAGCCTTTGTTCTTCAAATTGTAGTTTTTGCTGATAATGTTAGTGAAATAGTAAGTAACACAACTCTTGAAGAATTCAGTAAAAGATCACTCATTGCAGTAGAGGTACACTATCTCTTCATAATAACTTCAATTCTACATTCGAGAAACAGGGATAAACTACGTAATTTTGTCTGATGAGTATGTGTGTCTACCTATCAGTTTGACTGTTTCTGTAGAGCTAGTTACATTGAGCGTTCTGAATATCATGCTGCATAATCTAGCAAGAGAAGAACAAGGTCTATTCATAGCCCTGTTTTGGCTCTTCTTGTGAATACTGAACATAAAACTGAGGTTAATAATGTATTTAAAGTCATCTACTGTATTTCAACTAATCTTAATTTTGCCTTACGAGTTCGCACTCCATATATAGCTGAAAACATTAAAATACCCCTGAAGACGCTCATACAGTCGCTTTCTTTGTCTTCATGATCATTACTTGATCGGTAATATTTCATAACTTCCCCTTTCTCCTTGAGCTTTCCACAGATTAAAACTGTTTTAAGCATCTTTTACTGCTGCACAAATTTTCTTGCTAATTTTATCTTATTTTCAGTTCGATATTTGATTTTTATGCTTATTACTATTTACATATGCTTCTGAACTATAACTCTGTTGATCCTTATAACTTCACATTGTTTGAAAAACCTCAGTGTTTATGTATATATATATATATATATTTCTTTACAAAAATTGGTTTTTGTAGTGATCTTGAATAGTTGGAGGATTTCATCGTGAATCATTGGAAAACCAGCTGAGAGTAGTGGACACCTATTTCCTCCTCGTTTGGGACCCTTCATCAGTATGTACCCACCGGGTTTCGAACCCAGGACCTTCTGGTTACAAGGCGACTTTGAGCATGAGAGTTCCGAACTAGGATGAAACAGATGTCCCTCACTCCCAGGTTTTTCAATGGTTCTTTAACTGATGTCAGCTCATGATGAAATCCTCCAACCAATATATGTATATATATATACATATATGTAGCAGTTTAAGTACTTTATGCGTAATACCCATGGGTTGATGTTTCAGTGGTAGAATCTTCGCTAACCATGCACGTCGCCATGCACGATTCCCAATCCACGCATTTCTTAGTTTCGCTTAGCTGATAGTAAACTCAGTAGAGATGAAAGGTTGGCTGCGTACGGTTAGCTGCTTCACCAAGTAAATAAAAAATACACCACAGCTATTGAAACTTAAGATCACATGGTTGAAACCTCCTGAGCTTCACGTGGACATCAAAGGAATCAAAGAAAAAAGAAAACGTAATATTTACTTACCATTTTAACTAGTGTTTCAAATGCTTCTTTTACATTCACTCTACTTTTTGCGCTTGTTTCTAAATAAGTACAACGGACACTTTGAGCATATTCTTCAGCTTTTTGAACAGCAACAGCTCGTGCAGGCTAAAAAGAAAGAAAACAAAAAGTGTAATGGTAAGAAATTTTATTATGGATTAAAAATGTTCATTAGAAATTTTAAAAGAATGTGGTTAGTGAATTGAGAATATTCTTTTCGATAACTTGTTCTTAGTGCGTTAAACAATGCCAAATAAATAAGGCCGACAGATTGAAGTCTGTAACATTCGTATAAGTGATATATAATTTACATAAGCATAACACCACTGTGAATATCTGTGAATTGTACGCCCAATGTAGCTGGCTCCGCAGCTGCAGTCGAACTGGTTGATACACAATTAGGCAGGTTCATATTCGTATTTCTGAACATCATCCAACATGGCTAAGCAAAGGGCAAACAAGATCTATTCTTAGCTCTATCTTAGCACACCTTGTAGATAGTGAGCATAAGGTTGACTTTAACACTGCATTTAAAATTACTTATCGCATTCCTACTAATCTTAATTTCGCTCTATGAGTTCGTCTTCTACATACAGCTGAAGCAATAGGAAACCACCTGAAGAAGCCAAACTTGTGTGTTCAGAAGAAATTTGTACAGCCACTTTCCTTACCTTGGCCATCGTTACATGATTGTATAAACTGACTACTTCATTCCCCTCCCCTTAAAATATCTTTTCTTTTTAAAAACCTATAAACTGTAATTGTCTAAATTATTTTATTTTCTGACTACTTCATCTTTAATTACATGTTATCCTTGTAAAAATTATTTTATTCTTATGACCACTTCAACTTTAGTTACAAATTATCATTGTCCAAATTGTTTTATTTTCTTCAACAATCTGTTACGTAATCAACCTGTGCACACGCTTATTCCTTAATTGCTCTTCATTTTTCCAAAATTATGCATTATGCAACCATTTCCACCTTTTAATTATATATATTAATTTTCTTCGTTAATTATCACCCCATTGACATTTTGACACTGACTAATTATTGTTAACAAGCATATCACCACTTGATTGGTAATAAAATAACAACAATAATAAATAAATAATAAATAATACAAATGCTATATATATATTAGAGTAGAGCCAGAGATGAGGATCTAATTGAAAAGTAAATATTTCTTCGCTCAATCTTTCTCTTTTTAAAAAGCTTATATCTAAAGGGAACAAATGCTTTAAACAGTGCCACCCATCGACAGGCATCTCCTCGACATGGGTCATCAGGTGGACGTCTCAAGATCGTTCAGAATTATCAATAGGCAAAAGAGCTCAACCCTCCTCAGGTTTGCTGAAGTCATCTTCATCAGGCGCCTGAAACCTGATTTGTGCGTCCAGAAAGAAACAGTTGTCAGTCTTTCTTTACCCTGGTAACTGGATATTTTCATCTCTCTTTCATCTGAATGCGTAATGCTGAAAAGTTTCCATGGTCTATGATCATTATTGTTCGGAATGGTGTTTAATATTACATATATAAGTACATATTACTACTGTATGCGTATATTGATCGATTGATTTTTGTTTGAAATGAACTCTGTGCAAGTATGTTAAAATTGTTTCCGTAAATATACTACTCAATAATGACTTTGGGCTGTAAGCAGATGACGAGAAGGCAACGAAATAAAAGATTATACCACTTCATTCTTTAAAAGCTGTTATTCTTGCTTTATTCAAATTCATTAAGGAGAATAAATGTATGAAATATCAGATAAATTAGTGAAAGTAATACGGTAGGCCAAATCAGCAGCAGTAGTAGCGGCCTGCTTAAATCTTGGGCTACCAAAATTTCCATCCTACATATTGCATCTATTTCCTCGGATTTATTTTGTTTTAATTATTCAATTATGTATCCAAGTCGCATTACTTACTCTCGCGATTATTTAAAATGTCTTCAACCCTTTGATTTACGAGTATATAATAACGTTAAGAAAAAGCATCATGGAGGTTGGCAGAGATCATTAAAGTGTACTCCAATGCATCAGATGACTGTTCCTGTGATTATGAGCACAAATTGCAGGTCATTATCGAACAAGATTAACTACTTGCATTCTCTATTATACTCAAATGTATATTGTAATACTGGTGTAATCACTCTTCAAGAGACTTGGCTCCATGATTCATATGACGATAATTTAGTCTCCTTAAGTGGGTTCACAATCTACAGACAAGACCGATGCAGCTCAAAGAAGAAGAGAGGTGGTGGTGTTGCCACTTTTATTAATTCTCAGTGGTCTACTGCCAACAACGTCTGCTTCAAATGACAATATTGACTGTATAACTGTAAAATGTCGACCTAAACACTTACCTAAGTATAGCTTCATTTTTGTCACAAATATCTATATCACACCTTGTTGCAGTCCCTCAGAACTATCTATCTTCGCTGATGAATTCACTATTTTTGCTGCTGCTTCGTTTGGTAACTCCTTATCTATAGTGACTGGCGACTTCAACTCCAGCGACTGCAGTTTTATTACATTGCTGGGCCATGAAAATGTTGTTAATTTCCCAACTCGACAAAATACTTCACTTGATTTAGTATTTATAAATGATTCTGGAATATACGAAGCTCGTAAAAGAGCCCCGCTCTTCAATTCTGATCATTGTATTGTACGAGTCTTACCCAAAATTTACGGAAAGTTACACAGTAAAGCCCTCTCAAACTTGTCTAAGAAAGTTGTTCACAGATGCTACTCAAATGAGAACGTACATCATCTTAGAAACATGCTCAGTGACACAAGATGGGATTTGTTTAATGATGATTCACTTGATGACAATATCTCTAATATTACATCCTATCTGAAATTCTGTTTTGAAATCTGTTGTCCAAAAGAAACACTATTCGTCAAATTTGACCGTTTCTCCTCGCCTCAACTTAAAAAGCTTCGTAGAGAGAAGGAAAAACTGTATAAGATGAAAGATAAAAGTTGTGTAAAAAGAACTAACTTCTTAATTAAGTCTGAAATGCAGAGGTTGAATGTAATATATAACCAGAAATTCATATCCTGCAAAAATCCTTCTAATATGTGGAAACTATTTAAGGAAATCACTGGTGGTAAGCAGATAAACAATATTCCATATTCTTTTGATGTATGTACTCTTAACAAATCTTTTATTTACTCTCCCTCAAATGCCATGCTTCCCAGCATCACTTGTGTTAATAATAGCCCCTTTCCAGGTTTTAACACAAATGATGTTCAAAAGTGCCTCAAGTCTCTAAACCCTTCCCAGAGCTTAGGTCCCGATTATGTACCTAGTATTATTTTTAAAAATGTTCTGATATTCTGTGTCACCCTCTTACTGATCTATTTAACAAATCTTTTTCCGATAATATTGTGCCTGCCGTTTGGAAGGACATTAAAGTTGTACCCATACCTAAATCATCTACTGGAGCATGTGTCAAATTTAGACCCATTGCTATTACGTCTCCTTTTTTGAAAACTATGGAGAAATTACTTTTACTTAGTCTTGTACCTTCGCTTAAATCCTTTAATGACCCTAAACAATTTGCCTATAAGCACAGTAGAAGCACTTTAGATGCAGCTGCCGTCTTATATCATAACATTGCTTCCAGTCTAGACAAGGGGGCTAAATTTGTTCGTTGCGCCTTCCTAGACTATACATCTGCTTTCGACTCGGTCCCTAGGGACATCTTATTAAATAAACTTGCTGCTAGTCAAACAGAATGTTGGGCTGTTAACTGGTTACATTCCTATTTCTCAGATAGAAAGCAGTACACCGTATATAAAGGGAAGTCTTCCACTTCATTGCCTACTGAAGCTGGTGTCCCTCAAGGTGCTGTTCTTTCTCCTTTTCTTTTTTCTTTCTTCTTGCATGACTTGCCTCACTCTGATGAAATAAACTTTGTGAAGTACGCTGATGATTTAACGGTTTCAATGGCTGTTAACTCCCAGCTAGATTGTACTAAAATAAATAGCTTTCTATCGGAAGTCAGCAAATGGTCTGAGTCTAACGGTCTTAAACTGAATCCTTCTAAGTGTCAAACTGTTGATTTCAGCTTAAGATGTAAACGACAGTTAAAAGAAGTCATCGATTCTCATGACAGTTGTAAAATTGACGACAATGATATAGGAATCAAATCAGAAATTAAGTATCTTGGACTCATTCTCTCTTCTGATCTCTCCTGGTCTTCCCATGTCTTAGCAATCTCCAGTAAAATATTCCGCCTGACATTTTACATTAAGAAGTTAAGACACTCGGGTATAACTCAACCCCTACTCTTACAGTTCATAAACTCTTGCATCCTACCTATTCTTCTTTATTGTTCACCCTTATTCTTTCCTGGTTTGCTTAAAAAGGACTATGTCACAATTCGTAGAATACTGAAGACTGTCAGTAGGGTGAGTGGTGTCCCAGTGGACCACATAGTTAACGTCGTTGTCGATAGGCATTTGACTTCGTGCAATAAATTTGCTAAAGGGATTTTGTCTGACTTGGAGCATCCGCTTTACCCTCAGCTTTCACCTTGCATCTCCTCAGGTAGAACAAGGAGTAACTTCAGAAAACTGTATGCTCGCACGTCTAAGTATAAAATTCTATGATACCATACTTGGCACGTATTTTATGTGATGAAAATAGTGTCAGGCAAGAATTAACTAACTAACCTTTTTTCATCTAGTAAATAAACAATTTCCTCCATCCATCCTTATATACCTTCAAGTTTTACTTTTATTACTTCTATTATATTTATGGTCCTGTTACTTCTCTGTTTTACTCTCATAATTGCAAACACCAACTTATCTCCATGACGGCTGTAATCTTTGTTTTTCCCCTCACCATATCATGTAAAGAGAACATTATATTCAATATTTTTAAACATGTTAGGATTTCTATACCACATTGCCAATACTGTGTGGCACAAGCCAACGGCAATTTTCACTTGTATTCTTATTATTATTACCCTAGCTGTTATCATTATTATTTCCATTTTATATGCTGCATGTTTTTGACACTACCTCTATTGTAAATGTGGAAAATTTTCTGTGATTAATTTTATTTATAATTTGAGGAAATTAGATGCAATATTGTGATTAATGCTGAAAATTCCATTCTGTATCACAAGTACTGTTTTTGGAATAAAGTAAATCATTATTATTATTAGTTTATTTTGCGCGTACAATTCCAGTTATTTTAGGCGGATCGAAATGCACCTTGTTGTCTGGAATATTCAGTATCAACAGCTTTTTTAACAACTTGTTTTCTACCCCATAGATAGCAGAATCAGATTCTTCAGTGTTGACTTTATGATACATTTTAGACCAGGTGGTTTAATATCGAACTGTTGACAGTTTTTACTATACCTTTATTTATTTACACTAATAGGTGTTTCCAGCCGTATGAAGAGCAATTGTATGACTTAATGAAGAGAAAGTTATCGAAGAGTCTATTCTTTATTCACTAATCAATCTTTTTAGACTCCAGGTGAATATAGACAACACGGATGTTAGGAAAATAACCAGCCAACAACGACAACAACAACAGAAACATCCAGCGCCAATCACCATCAACGGGAGGGTTTTGAAAGAGGTTACTTCCTTCATTCACCTATCTAAGGAGCATTGTCTCAACTACTGGAGGAACGGATGAGGATGTCAAATCGAGCAAGAATCAGGAAGTCGAGAAACACATTCACATCAACCTGAAACCAATCTGGAAATCTTCGTCACTCAGCCACCATAAACAAAAAGATTCTCTCGGATTTTCAATACAAACAAACGTCGAGTCAGTCAGTTCTTCTATACGGATCAGAAACTTGGCGGGCGGGTCACAAAGAATATTTCCAACAGCCTGTTGCAGACCACTATCAACCAACAGCTGTCTTCGCTGGCTCTATACTGAGGATCAGATGACCGGTTTGGATAGAATTACCAACAAGAAACTATGGCTGGGAACAAACAAAACAAGAACCAATCGCCAACCAACAAATATGCAGGAGAAAGTGGAGATAGATAGGACACTCGCTGAGGAGGCCGCTGTGCGACATCGCGCATCAGGCCATTGGTCGAGTGGAACTAGGCCGAAAGGAAAGCGGCAAGTGGGTCGTCAGTGCAAAGGTGACATGGGGGAGATCGTGTGAAGAGCAGTTGAAACAGTATGGACTAACTAACATGGATGCTGGTGAAAAGTGCAGCAGAAGGAAGACAGAAGCAAGTGGAGACGTGCAGTTGAAGCCCTATACTCCACTGGGAACCCAAGGGAACAATAATAATATAATAATAATAATTTTCAATATTATTTATATACCTACTAAATCAATTTTGTTGCCAACAATTAATTTAATAATTCTTGAGCCTGAATGTTGTTCAACCATTTTCAGCCAAGTTTTCAGTTCATCAAAACTTTTTTGGCAGCCAACATCATAAACTAAAAGTGAGAAGAATGAAGATATGAGAAGTGTGTGAAAAACCAAAAAATGCCAACTTACCAACTAAAGCACCTTGTGCATGACGGAAGTATGATGGTGTCAAAGTATTTTTAAATCTTTCTGTACCTGCTGTATCCTAAACAATGTTTATTTACATATATATATTAGAAATATTAAACATCATTCATATATAATACATACCCAAATATAAAGTTTCACTAACTGACCATCATACCACATTTCATGCAATTTTAAATCTGTTCCAATAGTAGATGAAGAGTCCAAATCACTTGGTTTCGTGGTGAATGCTCTAACTAAACTAAAAGAAAGAAAAAAATTAGTACACAAATGTATATATATATATATATAACATAAGTATATAAATATGGGTGCGTGTATTTTAAACAAACCTGGATTTGCCAACATTTGAATCACCGACGAGAATGAGTTTAACTCTTTTGTCGACTTCACTGGATTCATGATTACCACAGTCAACATCAGTTGTTCCCATTGTTTTGCTAAATAAATGAAAAGAATTTAAATGAAAAATCGCGAATAATGCTCAAATATATATATATAATCAGATTACAGGCAGCGTGGGTTAGGATGTTGAAGGAACAAGATTCAAATCTTAAACACTAATCATAAATGACTCAGTGTTTTTGTACGGTTCAGAGACATGGTGCTACCGTCCTTTAAAGCGTTTCCAGCAGGTTACTGAAGACTTTTGTCGGAATCTCACTTTATTCAAAACTGTTTTTCACATAATATATGTATAAAACTTGGGCGCTGTGGTAGTAAGTAATTCCATATTAGTTTGTTTATTAGATATATCACACAGAAACAGAAACAGTATTGTTTACTGGATGACGTTTCGAACAAAATTTATTGCCGTTCATAATCATTTCATCAGTTATAATCACACGACTTTTAAACTTGAGTTTTATAGTTCTCTTTGTTTTCTCCTATTTGTCGTTGTTGGGGTAGTAGAATTTTCCAGATATCTGGGACAGGTGTTGAATCATTCCTATTACATGTATTTGTAGTTGATTCGATAAACATAGCTTCTGTTATCACTCTCTCCCTCGCTACACCATGTGACATTAGAATTTAAAACTGTCATCCTATCTCATCATTCTATTGTATGATTGTGTGTAACTGCATGTAGTGAGTGGTATAGCTGAACTATTCTCTAGATTTCTTATCTTATTCGGTTCAACCAGTCTAGATTTTGCTAGGTTTTTATGTCCGGCTAGCCTGACTGCTCCTGTTCTACTAGTTTGACCTATGTATTTGACCTGACAATCATCGCAGGTGGGGTATTAGATAAACTAAATTGTTTTGTTTTAAAGACTTCACTAGCAGGATCCTCTAGCCAACAAAGCTTGTTTCGAATTGAGTTTGTGGGTTTGAATGCCATTTCTATTCCTGCCTGCCCTGTTAAGAATTCCGCGTAAGGCTTCCGAGGTCCCTTCCTTGTATGGAATTTCTGTTGATGATTTAGATTCCTTATTGTTGGTGTTGTCTTGCTCATGTTTGACAGGCATTTCGTCATTAATATTAATATTATCACCATCACTACTAAAAATTATTTATTTTATTTTCACATTTCCCTACATATTTCTTGACTAATTTTTCAGGGTAATTATTATGTTTCAAGGCTTCTCTTATATGTATCACTTCCTGTCTTAGATTTTCTTTGGTACTACTTGGCTTTTGTGCTCTGTCACTTAAAAATTTCACCAATCCTTTATTTACTGACATAGGATGGGATGATCGGAAGCTCAAATATCTGTTTGAATGTGTGAGTTTCCTATAAACACAATTGTTTTTAATTTCCCACTTTCTTTCCTTTTAACGCTTTAATCTAATATTGGAAGCTCCCCTTCCTGACTTTCCAAATCATAGGTGAATTGAATTGTCTCCACCTTTGAGTTAATGTGTTCAAAAAATCTATCTATATCCTGTGTTTTAAGTTCAGTGAATGTGTCATCTATACATCCACCATACTTCGATGTGGGGTGGGGTTGAACCTTTCAATCGCTATATTTTCCCACCTATCCATGAATATATATCTGCTACCACCGGGGATAATGGCGATCCCATGTCAACTCCCTCAGTTTGTTTGTATATTTTCCCCTGGAATTTAAATACTGTGGAAATTATAAAACTCAAGTTTCAAAGTCGTGTGACTATAATTGATATGATTACAAACAATAAATTTTGTTCGAAACATTGTCATCCAATAAATAAACTAATATGGCGTTCAGATAACGAGAAATATTAGCAACACGGAACTCTGCTAGGCAACACACACACACTAAACGCGATCCTATCGCCTTATAATTATTCTGATTGGAGTGAAGACGGATTAAACATAAGCTGAGGAGACCGTTGACTGACACCTCAAGTGAAACTTCAATGGGGAAACTACAAGTTGGATATGGATCCGACAGTGATGAAATAGTAGAGATCATATGAGGCGGAAAGGAAAGCTTATGGGCAATGGTGGAGCCAGCTAAAGGTTACTGCAAGGTACAGAGTATCGATATGCTACCAAAGCTGTATGTTATACTTGGAATCAGAGGGAATAATGATATTTATAATAGTGTTTGATAGTAGAGATTTCCATGTTAAATTGCATAAGTTTTTGAAATTAAGTGTGAAGTCAGTAAATCTTTTATGAGACAACATAATAAGCTATTGACTTAGAGGCTGAATAGCAATTGTCCGATACAAAGTCACTGGTGGGCAGTGTTAAAAAGTAATGAAATTGGGAGGGCATAGATGATCACTTTTTTCTTAGTTTTAGATCACTCTTTTGCTACGATAATGGTTGGTAATGAAATCAGCCAAATATCTACAAAAAGCTAACAAGTGTTCACCTTTATTTTTAGTCAAAAGAAACATTGACATTTAATTGGACACCTTAGGTGATGGCGGAAACTTTGCTTTTTTGGAGACAGAAACTGACGGTCGCCTCTGCAACCATCTATTCAGCATCAAACTTTTATAACCTTATGACCGTTCTGAAAACAAAAAATCTCATTAAATTGTAAGGGGAATTGTAACATTTACTCTTCATTTATATTAATAGGAGTATTTTAGTCTAGAAGTAAGATGAAACATCGAACGCGCATCATTTTTATGCATTTGCCGAACATTTTCTATCCCTGTACCAACGATTAAAGGATGAAATTCTGTGGACTCTACTCCAAACTGTATCCACAAGTTAACCTGCAGCTGCGGTGACATCTATATAGGTAGAACCAACAGAATGTTCCAATGTCGTCGAAAAAAACATGTTCCAAAATGGCTACTAAATCATATAGAAAATCCCAACGCGATTCATCTGAATAGAAATCCAGGATCATCCATTGCAAAACACTTATTAATGTCAGATCACAAAATGAATATTAATGACTATTTCACGATTATATCATCACATAACTCCAATTTAAGGTTATTGAAGGTGATGGAAGCACTTTGGATTAATCACATACAGCCTAAACTGTGTGCACAAAAAACAACAGTAGCCTTCAACCTTCGCCTACAATGGACTACATGAACCATTTAAATATGATTGGTCATTAGTATGTACTTTTGGTTTTTATTTAACTGAGTAACTATCATGAACTTTATTTTTATTATTGTTAACCATGTTAGTTGTAAAGCAATTGTAAAGAAACCACGAAGTGACGATATCATCTCGTGAAATTTATCTCCTAAATGCCTTATTCAAATTTATCGAAGGTACTAATTGTTTTAAATATTTATTGATTTCTTTTAAGTTTCTTGTCGTATGAAATGAAGATAGAGCATAACTGATATAAAAAAAATGGAAAAAATGGTGCTAAGCATGAAGGTAAAGGAACTAAAGTAACTTCTGTAGACTTAATTAGGCGAAAAAAAGACGGAAAGTCTCCGATGCCAAATGACGTTGTCAGCAAGGTAAGGCAGAAGTCAGTGGGGAAATCTGTCGTACTCAAGAGCTAAAGAACAAAATTCCATTTTCCCAAAGCGGGGTTAAAGTCAATTGTTCTATATGGGTGAGAAACTTTGTGTGTCATAAAAAAACATCTCCAACAGGCTGCTACAGACGTTTATCCACAACTGACTTTGCTGCATACTGTAGATCAGGTGGGCAGGAAGTATTAGCTATAAGAAACTTTGGGAACAAACGAATAAAGAATCTGCTTATCAGCGAATATGACAAAGAAAATCTATATGGGTCAGACATATGCTGGGGAGACTGTTGGATCACATCATTCACTTTTCCCTTGAGTGCAGCGCGAATCAAAAGCGTCAAGTTGGATATTGGTTGGAGATTGACATACAGGAAGGAGATGAGAGACTATGGTCAATCTTGGCGCCAGCTAAAGAGAACAACATAGAACTGGACAAAATGGAGGTGTACTACCGAAGCGCTATCTTACACCCGGGACCCATGGGAATAATGGTAATATAATTATGACGTCATCGAATAATACGAAGTAAAGCAGCATCCAAAAATTGTAAAGTATTCCAAATTGTTATGCTGAACAATTGTTGCTGTAGAAACTAACAAGTAATCGGGACAAATACATGAGGGCTTATTTAGTGATTCTAATAACAGAACCCGACTGAATGCAAGAACACTGCAAAAGACCAATGTATATGGGATTCATCAAACAGATGAGTTGTAGGACCGTTGATTTCGCTTAGTTGTCAGTCAACGACATTCTTTTTTAAATATCTAGCTGATCCATTGTGCTTCGATACTTCATATTAAAAGACTACAGTTAAAAAAAGTTAATACAATTACTGAATCTTAGAAATGCCCTACCTACGAATACTGACCAGTTACGATGAATAGAAATAATCGAAAGTCAATAAGTAACTAAACATTTTAGAAAAATGAGTACATGAAGCCCAACTAAGGATTACTTCTAAACTGATGTAGAGGGTTCTAAGATCCAGGACTAAAGCTTTAAGAGTGAAATACTAGATATATAGTGACTACAAATCATAATAAATCACAAGTACTCAACTGAATCAGTTGGATCATTAAATATGATCAAATTAGGTCTTGGTATGTGTTACTTCAAAAAGCATAAAAAAATTGGATAAGACGAAACATAACAATTACTGAACATTAAATAAACTAATAAATATAAAACTGCACTCTTGAATAAGACAGAATAAGAGTTTGGTGAATGATACTCATTAGTGAATGGATACAGACTTCTAAAGTACAACTATAGCACAGTTCATACTCTGTCTTATTCAATCTCATTTAGACTGTGTTTCTCCAGTAATGTAAGTGTTATGAGCACCGAAGTACCGCATGCTCTAAACACCAGAGGCTATGACGATTCGCGTGAAACAACCAGTACTTTGTGTGCTAAAGATGCAAGTCCAGCCACTATTACTGTCCTGGCCGGTCTTCAGTGGAGACTATAAATTCATGAATTTGTATTATAATCTTTCCTAATTTTTCCTGACACTTAGCTTATTTTATGTTTTTTTTATTATTTGCTTGATTCCACACTGTATTTTTGGTGCAACTATGGAATTTTCAGTAGGCCAAGTTTAGCAGGTTGACCGGTGATATCAGGTGTGCGTCGGCAGGGGATCGAACCTCATACCATGTGCATGGTCGGCGACAGTCCTAACTACTGTGCCACCGACGCATCAAAGCGTGTGTCAGAGATGATGCTATTGAAATGCAATCCAGTGATATTACTGATTCGATTTAAACAACATTAACGTCATAACACCAATTCATTCATTCACTATAATGTATATATATAAAACTGTAGAGCCTGATGATAAAGTTATCGAAAAGAGTATTCTTTGTTCAGTATCCATTCTTTTGATAATAAGAATTATCGACTTTGCATAAATGTCATATTGTGCATCGTATTCAAATAAATAACTCCAATACTGTTACGACTGTTTTGCATATTATACATATGATGAAAAAAAATTTTCACAAATAATCCGACATATCAATTTGTTTATCGGATGCATCACTCAGTGAAACAGTATTATTTACTGAATGACAAGGTTTTCAAAACACAATTTATTGTTTATAATCATATTATTAATTGTAACTACACAAATACTTAAAATACAGAGTATAAATAGATTTTCCGATTATATCAAGTCAAAGGTGGAGGCAATTCAATTCACTTATAAATTGGAAAGTTGGGAAGTGGAGCTCTTAATCTTAGATTGTAACATAATAGGGTGAGAAGATGGAAAACCTACGCATTCAAGTCGATATTTGGATTTTGGTTCATCCCACTCCATGTTAGAAAAGAATAGGACTGGTAAAATGTTTAAGTAATAGGACAGAAAACGTAAATAGTATCAAGGAAAATCTAAGACACGAAGTAAGGCATGTAAGAGAAGCTTTAAAACTTAATAATTATGCTTATAAATTAATCAAGAAGTATGTAGGAAAATATCAAAATAAAATTAATAATAATAATGGCAGTAATACCGATAGTAATTATAATGGGATAGGCATGATAAATATAAACAGGAGGATGACAAGACCAACCCTAAAGAATTTAAATCATCAGTAGTACCTCTATAGAAAAAAAAAGATCTCGGAAACCTTAGGTAGAATTTCTAACAATGCAGGAATACAAGTGGTAATCAAACCCATAAACTAACTTTGAAACAAACTTTACCGATTAAAGGGTCCTTTGGACCCCATTGAAAAAAACCCAACTTAGTTCATCTATTACCTTGAAATGATTGAAAAGTCAGATACATAGGTCACCATAGTAGAACATAGCCAATCAGACTAACAGAGAGCGAATAAGATAAGAAATGTAGCTCACCTATAGCACTTCATGTAAGTATGCACAACCATACAATAGGATGGGATAAGATGACAGTTCTAAAATCTTATCTAACAGAGTGGAGGAAGAGACTGATGAGTGAAACCTTATTCCTTGAATCAACTGAAAATACGTGCAATACAAAGGATTCAACGCCTGTCCAGGACACCTGGAAAATCCTACTACTCCTGTAACTATTCGGCAGGAATAAAAAAGTCTCCAAGTTGTGCAGTTACAACTGATGACATGATTAGGAACCATGATAAATTGTGTCTGTAACGTCATCCAATAAATAATACTGTTCACTGTGTGACATATCAAATAGATGAATTAATGTGGAATTATTTACTACCACAGTGCGCAAATCTGAAACAATTTTATAAAAAAAACTTCGAGAGCATTTGTAAAGTTTGGTAGTCATATATCGTGTATATAATCCATAATTACTATTATGATTATTTACCAAAGCTGTAAATCCGTTGAAAATCATCAAGTCACCACAGTAACCACTGGTGCCACTACTACTGTATCGACTATTACTGTCTCACAGAATTATTCAATATACATTCACTCACTTTTATACTAATGTAATAATGGCAAACGAAAGTTGTTTTAAAAAAGAAACTTAATTAGCCTTCTTATATATATGGAATGCAACATTTCACATGAAACAAAATGTTACTATTTCTGATCGAAAGAACTGTAGGCTAAAGTGATTGCATCTTTGTCTTGTGTCTGTCTTCAATAAACATGCACACATACACCTTTGCATGTCGTCTGACGAGATTTCATGTGACTTTCCACTAGATTAACAATTAGAGAATATTTAATTTTCTTTGCTTTTACCGTCAATCATTCCATTGATATAATGTCTTTTGTATTATTATTGTTATTATTATTATGGTACAAAAAAGTTTCATTAATTTGTTTATTTATTCACTCTTCTTGACTTTTTGTGGATAACTCTTTCTGTCTCTCAAGGGGGTAAAGTAGTGATGACTTGATTCTTTATCGATCCATACATTATTATTATATTATTATTTCCTTTAATTCCTAGAGGAACATAGGGCTTCAGCTGCTCGTCTCCGCTGACTTCGGTTCTCTGCCAACTTTTTCACCCCGCTCCAAGTCTGCCCACATGCTTCCATCTCCTCTTCACATGACCTCCTCCAAGTCACCCTTGCACTGACAACCAACTCGCCGCTTCCCATTCAGTCGGGTTCCACTCGAGCAATGGCTTGTCTAGTGATGTCACTTGATGTTTTGTTTTCTCAGAGTACGGCCAATCCACCTCCATTTCTCCCTGCTTATTTGTTGCACAATCGGTTCCTACTGGGTTGATTCGCTCCTAGAGATCCCTATTTCTGATCTTTTCTGGTTGGCTATCTGATCTTGAGTAGTGTTGAGCAAAGACAGCTGTTGGTGAAAGTTTGTAGTTTGTTCGAAGTGCCCTTCGTGACGCACTGGCCAAGTCTCTGATCCGTATAGTAAGTAGTACTGACCACACATTGCAGTTGAAAATCCAGATCTTGTTTTTCACGCTGAGTGCTGTTGACCTCCACACAGACTTGAGAGTAATGAAAGCTTGTCTTGCTTTTCCGATTCTTGCTTTGATATCTTCGTCAGTTCCGTCGGCCTGTAGTTGAAACGATGCTTCCCATGTCGATGGGTAAAGGAGGTTGTTTCTTTCAGGTTCCTCCCATTTATGCTGGCTGATTGTTGTCTGTTATTGTTTCTGTGGCTGTTGGTGTTGGCCAGGAATCTTCATCACCTCTGTTTTCTCTATGTTCACCTGAAGTATGGCCTATCTTTGATGCTTCTTCTGCCAACTTGTTGCTTTTCACTTGCATATCTTCCGCTTTTTGGGAAATCGGATATATACCATCGGCGAAGTCCAGATCCTCCAAGTTTTTCGTTAGAGTCCATTTTATGCCTGTTTCCTCATCGCCCGCTGTTTGTCGCATCATCCAATCTACCGCTATCAGGAAAATCATTGGCGATAGTAGGCAGCCTTGTCTAACTCCCGTCTTCACTTCGAAGGATTCCGTAAGTTTTCCGATCCATAAATGATCAGATTAAATAAGCCTAGAAGATGTAGGTTTAATTGGTTTATATCCTTTTTTTATAAAACGATGTATACCAACATTGATTCAAGTGTTTCAATGTTATAACATTCAAACGTTGAATATTGAACAAAATAATGAAACTAAGCAAACACTATGTGAGGCTTCGTTTATCTGTTTATTTGATATAATAGATAGTGAAACAGTAACTTTTACTGGATAAAATTTCAAGGAAAATCTACTACTCATATTTTTATCAAGGCTGTCAAACAACTTTCGATATCTGCTTTACGCAACTACTACATAACTGGATATATTATTTCAGGAAAGAATGGAAAGAAGTAAGTTGAAATGATAATCAATAATTCCACTGGTTAACTTCATTTGTTGCAGGGATAAGACAGATTATCAGCTTGTTTTGATTCCTTGCATCCCGAGTGGAATATATGGCTTGGCCAGTGTATCTTCACTTTACTCACTTCTCTGACATCACTTCCACCTGATTCTACGACTGGCCAGAATCTTTTATTTCCCGTTTACATCGTCACTTTCAGAGGCCCATCCCTGAGCTTCCCACTCAGATTCCACTTGAGGATCTGTCATGCGAAGTTCCAAGAAGGTATTCTTAGCATACACCTTACCTATCTTTATTTCCTTCTCTATATAATTGTTCGGTGAGCGCTTTTATTCAGTAATCAAACTGAAAAAAGTAACCTTCACCTGTGTCTGAAATCTGCGTGTTACAGTTTTCCTCTCAATTTCATGATAGCTGGTGATGACAGTGTTGTTATTCATTCTCCTTTTTTGTGTGCTCATTGTGATTTCATGATTGTATAAGTGTAAGGAGGGCTATGTTCTCCTTGGTGATGTCAAGTATCAATCTAAATTTCTTAACGTCAATGTCCATTCAATTTGCAATGCGTGAAAACCACATTAATTCAGATTGAACATTGGATGCTTAGGAGGAAGCACAGAACAATCTTTTATGCATCTAAACTTCAGCTTACATTAAAAACTCGGTGTAATTCTTCTTATTGATAAACTCGAATAAAGCAAGAATAATAAATTTAACAGGGTGATATGAGCATTACTCACATTACTCTTCTTACTAGAGTAAAATACTCTTTTAGGCACACAACCTATTGTACTTACATAGTTTTTGTAGTTAAGCTTCCTTTACATACAAAATGTTGAACTCTGCTTCCCTTTTATTTTCAAGGATATTCGTCTGATTCTCCTATAAACAGACACTTCTTTCAGATCCTTGATGCCATATACTACTAACTGATGGGCATTAGCAGTTTTTGGATATCAATCACATCAGGCAGTAGTAATTACTTTTCAGATCGCAATGATTTGAATTCTGGACCATATTTTTGCTCGTTTGGTGCCGAGCTCACCAGCGGTGTACCCCATTCCACTCAGTCGACAATGGTAAATCGGTTCAAACCACTCGCATTCTGGCTAGCTACATAGGTGAACTTGTAATACAATTCTCAATTTTTGAATTACACAGTTCGAGGTGAAATTTCGTCGCAGGTTCCTTTGGAAACCAAAATTATTCACACCAGAGCATTTTTTCTACCCCAAGCGATGAATGTCAGTCAATAAAGCAAGCATAAACACATATTACTAACTACTGTTCATTGATTGATGTCAGCGGTTAGATATCACTCAAATTTTCCAGTGGGGCTTGTTACCTAGAACTGAATAACCTATGCACGCGAACTGATTATCAGCTGGCACAAGTAGTTGTCCATCATTCAGGTGGTCTAAACTCATTCGACTCTATACTGATTAACTTATCCGCAAACGAGGGAAATGGTCGTCCAATGTCTAAATCACTATGACCTGAACAGTTATCATTACTGGTTAACGTCAATGTTATCCAACTGCTCACATCAATCAGTCAGTAATATGCAACATCATGCAGTTATGCTTGCTGTCTTGATTACTATTTATGGTATCAAGTAAATCCCATGGCATGGTGGAAATAATTCTGATTTTCAAAAAAATTTGCGGTAAAATTTCACCCCAAACTGTATGAATTGCAAATCGTAAGTTGAGTTTAATTCTTTTGATACTTTATGAAAATTTTATTCTTAACGTTCCCAATGTAACATAGGGCTTCGAGCTAGAGACTTGAAGTTTCGGTAGCAGTGGTGTTTTTACTTTTAACGCAATGGGGCTGCTAGCCTCATGCGTAACCTTACCCCTTTACCACTCTTATAACTGGCTTAGCGAGGTAAAAGAATGTGTCGACCGGGGATAGGACCCCCGGGCTGCATGTGTGGCCGGCGAGCATTCTACCGTTGTGCCACCGACGCATACTTAATAATTTAACTACTGATAATATTACTCTGGACTTACGTTTCTCATAGTTCCTTTCATTAAACAGTTTTCAACATTTAAAGAGTATTTTTAAACCCTCTTTTGTTCATTTACACATTTTGATATTGTTTTATGTTGTAATCAGTTGAAAAGAATCCACAAAATAATAACAAAAAGTGTGGACATATTATCCTGATTTCTAAATTGAGAACTGAAGCCCGTTCTTTTGATGGCGTCGTCAATAGTTTGAGTATAGTATGTCAGATCAAATTCAGCAATTTCATCCAATGACTTCAACAGAAAACTTGTGAAGATTTTTACAAAACCCTTTCGAAATCCCTGACAAAAGAGAAATTGTGTGACGTTTTCCCAGAAAATCCTGAGGATTTTATCTGTAATCTGTCGAGTATGAAGTTAAATCACATCGAAATGGAAGCACTTTCTCCTGGATTTAACTTTCACATCCCAAGTAAGTTTGTCGAAAGAACTGATGTCGCAGTTCAATTCGAAAACTTATTCCATCAGTTGAGCGAGCCCACTCCAGTTGATGATGACAAGAGGAGCTGGTTCAAATCGAAGCTCGTCGACGTTGCAAATCAATACCTCATTTCTCCAATGTCATATTCCAAAGTCCTTTCTGAAGAGCATTGAAATCTCTCAAGAATAATGACAAAATGTTTATATTGAGACCTGACAAAGGCTCAGGTGTGGTGCTGATGGACAGAAAGGACTACATCGCAAAGATGAAAGCTGTGTAAAATGACCTGTTGAGGTTTAAAGTTGACAATTGCCAGAAAGATAAGACAGATGCAGTCGAAAAACGTATCACAAACGCCTTGAGAGATCTTCTAAAGAAGAAATTGACTGACAACTACACGTACAATGATTTGAAACCCTGAAGGTCCTGCTTGCTACACATGTATGGTGTTCCGAAGATACACAAAGAACAAGTCCATCTAAGACCCATAATTTCGATGATCAACTCGCCTTAACATAAGGTGGCACGCTGGCTTGCGGAGAAGTTGGAATCTATTCGTCAACGGCTAGGCGTGCACACGGTGAAAGACTCATTTCATTTCTCTGAAAGTGGATACCACATGAACGTTCTAAATAACCTCATGATGTCCTTTGATGTAACCTCCCTATTCACAATGATTCCAATCAATGAAACTATTGAGATCATTTGTCAGCATTCCGATCTTCC